ACAGCATTCTACCACAGCACCAACGTGTGCAGGTCGCCTGTCTCAATAAAGCTTATTAGCTATGTGTTCTATATAACACACTCTACCAGGCGCTATTTCGCCTAAGGCCACTATAGAGCCTACGAACCACCGAGACAGTGCTTGTTCCTACCCAATATCGCCTACCCAGGAGGGGCCTCGGGAAGTCCAGCCACCACCACGCTCCTTTCTCTCTTCTCCCTCTCTCAAACGTCTTTCGGGATTTTGACAATGCCAGCACTGTGGAGGAGCTGCAACTGCATGGGTGAAGTTGCAGCAGTGTGCACATTCTGCTCACTACCATGTTAATACGCTTGATATCAGACTCCGCCCGACCAGGGACTTCCAGGCCTTATCTCCATTCAGAGATAAGGTTAGAAGATCGGACCAAAGCAATGCCCTTTTTCTAAGGCCTACATTCAGGATCGATCTAATCGGAGGAGGTTAGGTTTAGCCTGGACACGGCCTTTAAAGGCAGCGTCCAGGCAGATCCGAGCTCGACGACCACTCCCACTTCCCTCGGACGGCCAACCCCTTATGAACGAAATCTCCTCAGCCTTGACGTGTTTTCACATGACCAACACAGTCGAACTTACAGTTGTGTAGGACGATTCGCACGACCGTAATGCTTTCCACACAGGATCATCGCCGCGTGCCACACACCCTGCGGCGGCTGCGACGTGCATTACATGTTAAGATAAGTCAAAATCAGGGAGACGCTGGAGACCGCCCGTGCGAAAAGACCGTCTCCCAACTAACAGCGTTTACCTGTTAATACTTGCTTTCGACAAGGATAACATCAGAAGCACTCGTCCGGGTTTCCCCAAAATAGCCCCAGAAGGTGGTTTTCTGAGAAATTCACGCTTTTTAAGTTCCATATTCGGAATCAGCGCCACGGAAATGTCTGGATAACATAAAAATATAGAAGTCGAGGATCTGCCTGGACGCTGCCTTTAACGACGTGATTTGTTGGTGGCATCTGATCAGGCTTCCTCCTGAGAGTACGAACTTGTACAGGTAGAGACTTGTTAATCGGAGCTGGCATAGTGATGACGCGATATCGATTGATTAGCAAAGAAACTTGACTGATGACCCAACAAGCAATGAAAAATTCAAAACCAGCCTCAAATTTTGACAATCAGAATATCTTCTTGACACACAGGAGGAGGACAAAAAGATGAAAGATGGTAGTATCAGCCACTAATAGGGATAAAAAGGTCAGAAATAGAAGCTTGTGAACCAACTACTCGCTGCGACTGCAGAGATGAGAATGATGGCGCTACCTTTCACATAAGTTTTGAAAGGTAGCGCCATTTTCTGGGATTGCGGTGGGTATACGGTAGGGCGTCAAAATACGGACTCGACTGAAATTTGGTCTGAGAGGTTTTCTGGCGTGCTGATCACTACTATCAAACTCTTTCTGCATTTTGGGGCCTTTTCACGGAGTTACGGCTGGTATAAGTATGGAGCCAACCCACGGATTTGATCTAAACTTCGACTAGACGGGGGAGGGGGGGAGAGGTTGTTTAGCCCGCTGAATATGGACATATACAAATTTCTCAAATTAGCTACGGTACTCAGATAATCGCCAGGGGCAGGCGGTCCGCAAACTCGCGCTTTTCTGCAAGCGGTCAACAGAACTTTGGGGCGTGGCCAAACCTTCTGCTGGCGGCACTTCCTTTACGGTCGCATATTCTGCCAGCGGGCAGCAATACAGCATTTCCTGCAAGCGCTCGACAAATAATTTCTTTCAGCGAGCGCTGGCCAAACTTTCAGCAAGCGCTCGGACTCCTTTTAAACAGTTTCGGGCATACGCCGAGCACAGGTAAGACTCTGTGTGGCAGAGGTGTCACCGTTGGTTTGATTACTCAAGTTTGAGGTACTTTCTCTCAGCGGAAAGTACTGGGGGGGGGTTGCGCGGTCCTCCACAAAGGACCGTGCGGCGTCCGAAAATTTTGCCTATTCTCGCGGAAAGTTCGCGAAAAGGCGGCCACTGCGCCGCAGCTAATCTATGAGAAAACCTCGGTTGTTCTTTGAGCATTCGTCTGAAATTTTGCTCAAATTCTTCCAAATATCTGCAAGCAGACCGCAAGAAATCAACGAACTATTTTTCCGGTGCCCGCCCGCCCATAAATCGCATGGCCGCTGCCCCCGGCGATTATCTGAGTAGGTGTACGGTAGATGGGTCGAAGTTACAAATTGCTCAAAACTTTGCCTGGAAGGATTTTCAAGCATTCTGATTATGAAAATCATGCTTGTTTGCCTCAATAACGCTTTATTATGGAGTTACGTTAATTTGCAGCTTATGAGTACATATTTTATCGGCTTTTCTCATGTAGTTACGGTAATTTGCAGCTTATGAATAGACATTTTTCGTGTTCCAAGTCAACTTAGATCACAAAAATTCAAGTAAAGACTTTATCGTGCTAAATGAACTTGATATTCGCGTCAGAACGTCAAATAACCGAACTGCAAGAAGTTTCTGGCAAATCTATGAGTTTGACACCCCTATCATAGGTATATCCACAGCATGTCGAGTAATCCTCCTAGGCCAAATTTCAGCAAAATCTTTGGCGCCTACATACCGCACTGGCGCCACAAAATGGCGTTAGCGTACATGCATATAGTATTCGGCACCAGTGGGTAGAATAATCCCCATAAATATTTGAGCCAAATCCACGGCTTCAAAACGTAGGGGACCAGTTACTGGGAGAGCGCCAGTTTTATGTGGTCCTGCGGTTAAAATCGATTTTGTACACAATGAAGATGCAAATGAAAAAATGGGGCCGAGTAATACAAATACTTTTAAGTAGTTTGAGGTATCATGTGCTCCAGTATGAGAGTGCATGAATCGCTACAGTACGCCTGTGAACAAGTAACCAGCGATTTAGTCGCAGCGATTGGGCGTACAGTATTTGGCCAACGTCCATCGGCCGAAAAATAAGATGCTCCAAACAAACAGAGCCTAAACCTTCTTAAAATGCTTTGTTTTAGCCATATTTTCTAGATATATACTAGCAAAATGAAAATACCATAAAATTCTTTCTAATTTCAGTATCCTCTCTTCTCTATAGAAACTTCAAAATTGACAGTCATGAGGATCTTATGTAATTGGGGTTGTTTTGCAAGGCGAATTCAAAAATGATTGCATCGTCACTTTCACCAAATCGCGACGATCGATGACGAAATTGCGTGAGGTATGCCCGGTCCTTAAGCGGGTAGGTCTAATGCTTGCCTAGAGCAAGCATTAAACCTAATCCTTTCAATGCAGTCGCGAAGCGCGTCTACAAAGGCTAGAACTTGCTCTGGAAGTGTGTTCGGGCCGCTCCTCTCGTTCCAAAATTCGCTCACCGCAATTCTGAAGTCCATGTAAGAGCACGCACATATCGCACAAATTTATGACCATAGAGTCTCATAACAACCCTGTTTTTCAAAGATAGGGGCCCTGCTCCACACGTACAATCAATGGGAAGGCTTCCGAGAAAACCGCATTTTCGACATCTTAGCGCATTCCAAGCTACTTTTGAATGGGACGGATAAGGTAAGCGAAAAAGCTTCAATTCAATTTTGTCAAGACTGCCTCTGAAGACACTGCTCAAGTTGCCCACAGCCTACCAGCAATCACGCAGTCCACATCACTATTGGTCAAATCACTGATCTGACCAATAGCGAAGTGACCGAAGTGTATGAAGCAGCTCAGCGAATAACCCTTGCCCTGCCAGAGCTCCAAAGGCAGAGTTGCTGTGCTACCCAGGGTCATGACTGTATGCAGTAGGTGCGCTTTAGCATTCAGTTTAAAATCCAATGGCGGATTTCGGGCTAATGGGATCCGCCTTCAAAGGGGATTTCGAAGACCCCCTCCCCCTCCTTTTTCACTACAAACAACAGCGATCGTTTAGGTAGTGGACCTATCCAACATTCTACAAAGCTTGCGGTCCAAAACCCTCTTTCTCCCCTCATTTTGCTGGGATGCCGCCTTTGAGGTCTTTAAGTCTACAAGATTCGTGTCTAAAATCAGGACCATGAAAAAGGTTCTGGGAAAAATCAAAACAGTGAATTTGAATTGACCTGGATGCGGTCGAGTTTGATCAAATGTGCCATTGCATACAATGGTTGTAAAAATGCAAGAGAAAAATATCAAACCACATAAACGAAGTAATGTATAGTTGATTCGTTGACCACGTGAACTGGACATCACTGCGGAGCACGCATCGCGACGTAAACGTGCCACAACACAAATTCGCCATTGTACAAGTCGTTCTTTCGCGACAGCGTCAAACCCAGACCACACGCGGCGTTCAGCCGAGCCGCGCGTGGTCTGGGTTTGATCAGTCCGTGCGCTCAACGAATCGACGATAATTGATAACTGTAATTGTATAAAAACTGACCGACCCATTGTTACCGCTTACATCACTTTGAGAGGTTTGTGCTGGTAAAGGAGAGAAAGTATAGAGCAAACACCGAAAACACCTATAGTTCATTTATAAAATCGTGACGACGGATTTTACTGCGGACTTTGCGCACACAGCACCATAATACGCTCATACAAAAATGCGTCACCTTAACGTTCAGCTAAGTCACTTTCAGTCTCTAAATATTATCATATGTAAGCAAAAACCATTCGACTAGAGATGAAAACCAAGAAAATGCGATTTTCGGAAGTGGCGTGTGTGTCGCGCGCGGTACGCCATCTCACGACTTTTCAAATTCCCTATACTTGGAGGGGTGTCTGCTCCAGTCCAGGATAAGGACGGAAAGATATTGTGTGCAGTGACACGTATCATCATATGAAATAACTAGACTGTAGTATCGGTAAGCACCAGACTTAGGCCAACTAAAATCTGGTAACGTATATACCAAGACAAGTGTTGAAACCGCGCATTGCTTTTCATTCCAAGATGCAGTGTAATGCGTCACTCTATCAAATCAACATTTGATCAACGACAGAAAGTGGAAATGAACAAATAGAGCAAAGCAAAGACCTCATGCTCCACAGAGTTTGCATCTCGGAGCCCTTTATCGCATATAGCTGATCAGATTCCAACGCATCGTTCCTGTAGCAAATACAGAGTGAAAGATAGGTAAAAACGAAGAGCACATCAGCTCCAGGAAAGATACTACGAGACTTACCCATCGCAATCGGTGCATGACTCCGCTGAGGATAGGCAAGACCTTTGGCGAGGAGCCTTAGCTGCAATGTGAACTTCTTCACCGCTCTTACGTCTCTAAAAAAATTTACAAGAAAGTAAACAAGCAGATTAAAATAATGAAGCATAACAGACCTTGACAAGGTAACTTTCGTCGACATTCTGAGGCGACTCTTTATGCAAGTCTGCATCGAGAAGAATTTCTTTGTTGTTCTTCTTGCTATTTTGTCCTTTTGACTCCTCTTCCTCTTTGGAAACACCTTCTTGAATGCTACACTTGAATACAATGCACGCGACTTGTTCATTCATACCAGCATCCTTGCTTTCCACCATGGACAACACGTCTCGCCTGCTCATCACTGAATTACTGCAAGCTCTTCTCCTTTTTGTGGATCCCAATATTGTATGGTAACAGCAAGAACACGTTAAGCCGCAAATGGGTGCTTCTTTTCTGCAATATCTGATTTAGTGCACACTCTGTGTCATCGCCTCATTTCCATCCACGCAATCACCAACAAATTCACTCACCTTTGCCTGCGTATGGCCTCGGGGATACAGTCCGTGTCAATCGCGTGCTCTCTTTTACGTAAGCGCAATGAGCTTCGCACCACGTTCGCGCGCATATGGCTCGGGCATTAAAGATGCCCTTAATGATTGGAGGTCCACGCGCAGTGCCCTTGCGTTGCGCATGCGTACATACTTCCCATGCGAAAAGGAATACGTACCCTCGATATCATTTCATATGTCTTCCCTCAACATGACGTGGATTACGTGGCTTGATGAGGCGCCGCCTCGCCTCGGGCTGCGCCACGTTGCGAGCGCATCATTTGGCGCGACGTGGCGCTCAACACAACGTGGCGCAGGCTTTTCCACGTTCTTCTTGTTGCCAAATCACGCCGAAAATGCGCACGCAACGTGGCGCAAGCCCTAGGCGAGGCGGCGCCTCATCAAGCCACGTAATCCACGTCATGTTGAGGGAAGACATATGGGATGATATCGAGGGTACTTGACACTGACTGTAGCCACACGCGATTTCGGCCGCCACACAGTCCGACAGTTTGTCAGATGATTTATCCTACATTGTTAGATTACAAACACATAGCATGTTCAACTTTCTTGTATTGATAGATCGCCCTATGCTCTGTACATTTAAAGTATAGGGCATTTGGAAAATCGTGACGATGGCGCGACCGTGCGCCACTTCCGGTAACCGCATTTTCTTAGTTTTCATCTCGAGTCGAGTGTTTTTTTGCTTACGTATGATAGAATTTAGACACTGGAAGTGACTGGGTAGGGGAACGAAAGCCGCCAGTTTGAGCCGCCTTTCGCGGCTAACTGGTCCTTTCGCAACGTTGTTGCATGTCGTCCCAGGACCAGCAGCCGCACAGGCGACCAAAGCTGGCGGCTTTTGTTCCCCTGCCCGAAGTGACTGAGTGGAGCTTTGAGGTGATGTCTTCTTGTATGAGCGTTTTATGCTCCCGTGGGCGCAAAGTCCGCAGTCAAATCCGTCGTCACGACTTTATAAATGACCTATACACTTAGGGATCTGTCATATTTCGCAAGCGCCCATGCCTAACGGACCCATCATACTTCGCCGAGAAAAGCCCAAGCGCCCAAAAAGCCCGTAGAAGCCGGAAAAAAAAGCCGAAAAATGCCCGAAAAAGCCCAAGAAAGTCCAAAAGCGCCAGATAGAGTTGGATAGAGTCGCCAGATAGAGTTACATCCGCATCTTGCCTGATCTATAGGTCGACAGATGAGTCTTGCGCCAATAAGAAGATTCGCAATTTTCTCCATCTCAAAAGATTCTTTAATTTTGATAAACATCAGATGAGGAAAATTTTGCACTTCCCAGAGGCAGTTGAAGCAAATCTTTTACTGCCATGATGCTACGATACAAGCTGACAAAGAAAAACACTCTAGAAATATTATAAGTTTTGCAATTTCGCTTGCTAAAACAACCAAGAGGTCTACTATATTTTTATTTTTAGTTTTGGTTTAGTTGCTTGACAAACCCTATCTATCTGAAAAATCCGTTGAGCGGATTTTCGAACTTCTTTAGTCAACTCCTTGCTTTCGACTCAAAAAAAAATCTCTAGGATAAGATACAACGTTGATATATGTTATCATGTACTTCAAAATTTGTTTTGAAAATTCTCATGTCGACCGTTTTATGTTTTTTGGCGCATCGTAACGAGATTTTATGCGAGAAAAATTTATATTTTTCTTTTTTTTCAAACTTTCACACCAGGTTACAGCATTTTGGATTTGTGGTTTTTTCTTCTGGCTTTCAGAATGTGGATATGAAGTGATTTCAGCATAGACGTCAAAAGACGTTTGATCAGGGCACCATAAGATTAATCCATAGCACTTTATCCGCCCTAATTATGGTAGAATGTAAAATGATGATCAGTGTCTGAGATAGAGCAAATAATGTAATTTTTTAAAGTTCTTCATCCCAAGATCAACTAAATTACGAGGGAGGGTAGGGCTTCAAGATATGACGTGCCTTTACGAGGGTAGGACTCGCTATAAAAAAAGTGTATGCGCTGCATAATTTGCGGCATCAATTTGAAGAGATGATAGCACACTAAGCTCCTGGTGCTGCTTTGAAACAGGACCATTCAAAGATGGCATAGTACAGTACACCAGGTTTTCTGGAGTATTGTGTGGGCGCGCTTTAGTCCATGTGGATTGCCGGAACGCTAGGAATTTTGATTTTTCGCTGAATCAAAGATCTTTGAAACTTGCTTGAAAAATGAATTTTTCATAATTCGAAACTTGCGCGTGAAAGACATATGGACACTATGGAATGAAGCTCTGGTCGGCGAAACAAATTTCACCTGCCCTTGAAACCAAAACTGATGAAGCTCATCTTCATAGAAGAATCAAGTTTTTCTGCAAACTTCGTCAAAAACGAGTTTTCCATAGTTTTCTTAAAACTCATGCATGAAAGGGATGAGGATTTTCCAAAAGAAGGCAATAGGCTATGTGTAGAGTGAACGTAAAGCCATTGAGAGATATACTGGAAATGTAAGTTCGTCTTGCGAGTCAACTACAAGCCGAAAGAGAGATCGATAGCTGGGCTGTACACAACCATTTCAGCTACCATGGCACGTTGCTATTTCAACACATAGCAAGTGCAGCAACAAAACCGATAAAGGTAGCCGATAGATCATCGATAATTCTAAAATTTAATGTTTTTGTGATCAGCGTGCACACATACACCCCTGTGCCAATTTTTAGCCGCTTAGCTCAAAGTTGAAAAATTTCCGCTCCGCAGCGGGACCCATAGTGCGAGCGAATCTCTCGCCGGCATAATGGCTACTGGCCTCTCCTCTCGCCATCACTGAGCGCCGTTATGTTTTCGCATTCCTTTTTCTGGATTTCAGCAACTGGACCCTCCGTCACGCTGGGGTTAAGGATAGGAGGGACGCAGAAAACTCTGCCGTCGCGCTTGAAAGGATCGAATGTATATTATAGTAAGGATTGGGCGCTATTCGGCTATCCGGGCCCCAAAATTTTTTGGTCATGGATTTCGTTCAAACTTGGTCCAGGAGGGTTATCTGACATGCTGATCACGAATATCACATTTTCTCCGCAGGAAACCGCCTTCCTGTGAAGTTACGGTAGGTAAACGGTAGGGGGTCAAAATCGTAGATTCAGCTGAAACTTGGCCCAGGGTGTTATTCGGCCCGCTGACGCCGAATATCACATTGGATTTGTACCGTAGTGTCATTTTCTCAGGTTACGGTGGGTATACGGTAGGGCGTCAAAATCTCAAAATCCGCTATAACTTCGCACAGAGGGGTTATCTGATATGCTGATCACGAATGTCACACTTTCTCCGCACGAAAACGCCTCCCTGCATGGTTACGGTAGGTTTAGGTAGGGGTCAAAATCACAAATCGGCAAATGTATCTCCCCCTGTGCTTTGCTTAGGCAAAACCCGCAGCAGGGTGTGTAGCGCGCGGCGGTGGTCGTGTGTGCAAAGCTTCACAATGTCCAAATCGTCGTACACCCGTTTCAGGCAAAACTATGCTTTACACCCGTTACCGTGTAGCTACCGTAACCCGAGAAAATGACGGTATGGTTCAAAACCAATGTGATAATTGGCATCAGCGGGCCGAGTAACCCTTATGCCAAGTTTCGGGCAAGTCCGTGATTTTGACCCTCTACCGTAGTCCTACCGTAACTCCACCGGATGGCACTGTCGCACGAGATAAACATCATATTCGTGTTCAGCGTGCCAAATAACCCCTCTAGACGAAGTTTCGGGCAAATCCGCGGTTTTGACCCCCTACCGTATACATACCGTAACCCTGCAGGGAGGGATTTTCCTGTGGAAAAAAGGCGATATTCGTGATCAGCATGTCAGATAACCCCTCTGGGCCAAGTCTGAGCGAAATCCATGCCAAAAAATTTTTGGGGCCCGCTCAGACAATCGCTGGGGGCAGGCGGGCACCGGAAAAATAGATTGCTGATTTCTCGCACCCCGCTCGCGGATTTTTTGCAAAGCAATCGGAACTTTTCGGAAGACCGCTTGCTGAGTCAGCGGATTTTTGAGAGACCGCCTGTTGAATTTTTTTTTCGCTCTTATCTTTTGCAGATATATTGCTGAATCTCTGAGGAATCGAGAACTCAGCAAGCGGTCTTCCGAAAAGTCCTGATTGCTTTCCAAAAAATCCGCAGGCGGGGTGCGAGAGATCAGCAATCTATTTTTCCGGTGCCCGCCTGCCCCCGGCGATTGTCTGAGCGGATACTCAGATAACCGCCGGGGGCAGGCGGCCATGCGAATTTTGAGCAAGCGCGCACCGGAAAAATAGTTCGTTGATTTTTTGCGGCCCGCTTGCAGAAATTTGGAAGAAAGTTGGCAAAATTAAAGACGAATGCTTGAAGAACAATCGCGGTTTCTTTATGGATTAGCTGCGGCGCAGTGGCCGCATTCTCGCGGACTTTCCGCGAGAATATGCAAAAATTTCGAGGGCCGCACGTCCCTTTGTGGAGGACCGCGCAACCCCCAGGTACTTTCCGCTGAGAGAAAGTACCTCAAACTTGAGTAATTAAACCAACGGTGACACCTCTGCCATACAGAGTCTTACCTGCGCTCGACGTACGCCAGAAAATACCTAAAAAGAGTCCGAGCGCTTGCTGAAAGTTTGGCCAGCGCTCGCTGGAAGATATTATTTGACGAGCGCTCGCAGAAAACTCTGTATTGCTGCCCGCTGGCAGAACGCGGAAGTACCGCCCGCTGAAGGTTTGGCCACGCCCCAAAATTCTGCTGACCGCCTGCAGAAAAGCGCGAGTTTGCGGACCGCCTGCCCCCGGCGATTATCTGAGTAGCCGAGTAGCGCCAAGAATTGTAACGCCCATTCAAAAATCTGCAAATAGCGGGAAACCCCGATGCAGTTCCGAAGCGCGGATGGAATCTAGCCCTTCAATTACTGGTAAACGGCACCAAATCTACAGAGTCGGCTGAGCGGGCGTACGCGTCGCGGACATGCTCTATGCGCCGAGTGACCGTAGATTCGCCCGCAGGAACGATTACTTTTGGATTGGAGCAGGAATCCTCAGTAGAGCACCTTACTCTTCCAACGCTGAATTTGAGGATGCGCTTGCCAAATAA